TTTTATCATTGATTTTGACTGCCTTTATAAATGCAAATATATTTTATGAAAATCATCGACGAAAAAAATATTTCTTGTGCTTGTTTGATAGAAAATTATGCCTTCTTTCAACTTTATGCTCAAATAAAGAGTAGATTTCGGTTATAAAGGTGTTGCTAACTATGAGCGCTTTTACAATTTTGAAGTTGTTATTCATAATACATCGTATACGCAAATATATAAATGCTGCTCATAGTCCATAAAATATGTTCCACATATATTTCAATATTTTATGACAACATTGTGTCTGCTTCCTCAAACCGTAAGCAAAAGCGTACTTTTCCATAAACGGGATGTACACAGTGTGCAGTGTTTAAGCCTTCAATTCGAGTGTAGCAGTCACTAGGTTAGAACATTATTCAGCTATCGAACAACATTTTTGTCACCAAAAGCTACCATTTCTTTGAGGAAACAATTGAATAAAGGCATAAGTTGCTATCAAACAAGTACAAGAAATAATTTTTTTCGTGTGTGTTTCCCATAAAATATATTCGGCTTTCTGAATGGTCGAGAATATGCGAGGCCCAAGTAACTTAATATAAGAAGTTAAGACGTCCTCTGGGACCAGGAGTGTATTTGTCCGACGTTCCAAAGTCTCCCGCGAGCTCATTGTCAAGAAATGAGATAACGTACGGCTCACAGTGTAATTAGGTCGGCTCTGCCGGGATTGACCTCTGCCCTTGACCCTGCCCTCGATCTGCTCGCGCAACCCGAAGTAGGCATCAGGAAGCTCGACATGTCTGTTAATTGAGTCCGCGCATGAATGCCAGGCTTTCTGCAGCAGGCGTGAAGTTCGGTCGACTGACCGACCCAGTATTCGCACGCTTTCGAAGTCGAAGTAGTGCCCTGGCATGGATGCGTGTGCGGCCACCAGGAAATTCTTGTCGTTCCGTTGCACGGCGAGGTTATGCTGGTGCATTCTCGTGAGGACCAGTTTGCTGGTTCCACCAACATAATTGGCTTGAACACAAAGACAATCAATACGGTAAATGACACCGGACTATTGAATAACGGGTACTGGGTCCTTGGGCCGCATAAGTTGCCTGCGGATTGTTGCTTCCGGTCGGTGAGCAACGCCAATCCCAAATTCGCTGACCAGTCGAGCTAATTCCTCAGAAACACCAGCAATACAGGGTATTTCTCATCAGCGTTTTCGTTTGGCTCCTCACCAGCATTTTTCGACGAATACGCCAGGATAGCCATTCATTGTGAAGAGTTTCTTATGATACTGGACCTCGGCCTTCTTCTCGGCTGGTTCGCTGCAGTGAGTTTCTACACGAACATAGAGCGTTCGCACGCAGCTACGTTTGTGCTAGACAGGATGGTTGCTGAGGTAACTCAGGATGCGAGAGGTATTCCTGTTAACTGTGATTTTGAGTACCCCGACGTCTTTTCTGCACACCAGCACGTCGAGGAACGGCAACTGGCAATTTTTTTCTTCCTCGATCGTGAACTGGATGTCGGGGAAGATCGAGTTCAGATTCGCTGTGAAATCCCCAATGTCGTCTCGACGAATGATGACAAACGTGTCATCAACATACCAAACCCACAATCTTGGTCGATAATGTTCGAAAGCCAGTGCCTCCAGTCGTTGGCGCGGCTTTCGAATTTAAGCCACCCATTTTTTTGCTCTCCATTCACGTGGGAATTTATTATCCTATACCATCAGCTCTAATCCTCTGCTTTGTTTGTCTGCATTCGTGAACATGAGGTCATATCTACAGTACACTGCTACCTTATTAAATGCACGAAAACAAGTTATTTTATCTACTAAAAAA